CTTGGGAACAAGAGAGGTGTTTTTTGGGACTCAAATACTCATTCAAAAATGCCTCGATCACCAGGAAAAAGTATATCTCTGTTTCATTGACTACCCGAAGGCTTTTGATAGATTCCATCATGAAAAATTGTTGTATGAACTACAGCTAGACACAAAAGATCTCCGCATAATTCAAAACCTTTATTGGAACAAAGCACCAATCTTAAAATATTCCAACCACACTACTAATAGCGTGCGTGACAAAAATGTGACCAACAAGGCTGTGTCATGTCTCCATAGCTCTGTAGCTTGTACTCTAAATGTATATTCCGAAAACTAAGCTTAGACACCAGAATTAAAGTTATTAAATGTAATTAAGACTTCTTTTTATAATACAGAAACTTTTCATAATCCACTGGTATTATGGCAAAATATAAATAACTGTTAGTAAAAATCATCGGCCTGGACAATATTTAGCCCTAATCCTACTCAACAAAGAAAAAGGTGTAGCAAACCCATCTGCAGAATGCAGCAGACTTTGGTTGCCAACACTAGAAGAAGAAGTCAACAACAAGAATATACCTACAATAGCAGATTAATGGGAGGTCGAAAAATATCATCTACAATCTTACACACGTATGCAACACATAATACACATAAACACAAACCTATTTTTTGCTCAATTTATGTACTCAATCACAATTACCACACAGTTTTTTACACAATCATAACAACAAATACACAAAACATTCAGAATTTTATATTGCTAGAGTAAAAACACCACCCTCAACTATTGTACAGCCATTATACGCTGTTGCCTACAAGATCGAGGTCCAGCATGTCAATTTTGAAATGACATAACCAATCAATAACCAATAACAAAATCTTTGGTTATACATTTTTCAGAATTTGTATAATAAACTTTTTTTGAAAACGATTTACAAAGTGGAAATCGACACGTCATCGAAACATTGCTTATTAAAAATGTAATTTTCATTACAACCAATCATTGTGGTTTTTAATAGTATATTAAAGTATAAGTGGATATTGAGGTCTTTAAAACAACTGGATTGCTCGAAATAGAGCAAGTGTTTTAAAGCCCAGTTATCCACGAATACTTTACGCTATTTTTTTTATTGGTATACTCTGAAATCATGTATTATTACTACTACAAAAAATTGAAATAAGAGCTAATAATGTAAAATGGTTGAATTTGTGATGTACATCAGTATACCTTTCGTTATTATGGAAATGAGAAAAACAAAAATTAATTTGCAATCTATCACATCAGATTAATTGTTATTACTGGTTGTATATAGCTTAAAAGAAGAATGAGAAAAATGTTATAAACATTATTGGGAGTATCATTAATGGAAGTACAACCCCATTGACGTCCGAGGATTTCGGTAGTATTAATTTGAACAGCATTTCCTCTGGTTTAAAAAAAACGGGAGTATAAATATTTCAAACAATACCAACTGTACTTTTCACATTCATTTAAAAGATTTAGATTTTCAAATATTTGAATAAAGCTTTTGAAATATTTGTTAGTAACATGGACGTATAAACATAGTTGGACACAGCAATAAGATACCTTTAACACACACATGTTTTGAAGCTTGGATAGAATGTGATGCTTCCGCAATGAGCATAAGCGTGCTTGAATTTTTACTCGCGGGTAATTATTCAGATTTTAAAAATTGAAAGTAGTAATAATGTATAAAAAACACTTTCAGAATTAAAAAAAAATGAGAGTTTAACTATTAGCAAATCACGTCTTTATAGAAAAATTAAAATACAATGTTATTTGCTTTATTAATACAATTAAATATAGTTGAATTCAAGTTCATTGGTGCATTGAATTCAGTACTATGGCAGAAAAATATAAGACCGGAAACGAAAAAAAGAATATATAACACAATATTGAAACCAGTAATCGTGTATGGCTCAGAAGTATGGCAGTTATCACAAAAACTTAAAGGTAACCTCTTGGCAGTTGAAATGGATTTTTGGAGGAGAGCAGCGGGAAAGTCTCGATTAGAACATGTGAGAAATGAGGACATCAGAAATCAAATGAATGTACAAAGATCAATTATAGAAGACATCGAAAAACAACAACTGACATGGTACGGACATGTTAGACGTATGGGGGAAGAAAGACTACCAAAAAAAATATTAGAATGGGTACCACCAGAGAAAAGAAAACGAGGACGACCACCAACAACATGGATGCAAGGAATTTCAAAAGCCATGTCAGCAAGAAATCTATTTGAAGAAGACTGGCAGAATAGACAGGCTTGGCGAACGGGAACCCAAAGGCGGATTACGCTATAAACGGGATATATATATATATATATATATATATATATATATATATATATATATATATATATATGAATTCAAGTTAATTTTTTAATAGTATCAAAATAATGCTACAATAAAAAATCTTTATGTTTTCTCCTTAATTTGCTACCCAAATAGTTCCATCGTCAATATTATTTGGAAACCTACATAGAAAAATAAATGAGTTTTATTCATTTCACTAATTTATTTGTATCCATGAGAAATATTAAATTAAAAAGGTACTAAACAGATCTTTTTTAATCAGATGATGTCTACTTACAATTTATAAATGTCTACTAATTTCACGAACTCATATCTTATTCAATACATTAATGAACATGAATAAACCCAATGGTACGACTATTAAAATGTAAACAAACACGCTTCCTCATTTCCTCATCTTAAATAATGTAAATTGTATGTACTTACAAATGAAATGAGAGATCGGGATGTAAATATTTCGTTTATTTTATTTCACTTTTCACAAATATCACTCAAAATACAGCCAAAATATCGAAAAATAACTCATCTACTGTAAAAAGTAAACAAACATGGAACAGCATTTAAAGTTTGACGTAGATCCATAAGACAGAGAAATGTAAACAACCGTTGCTATTTATAAATAGTTTTCAGTGCTTCTACATATAAAATAATTGATTGATATCTATTATACGCTATTATTAAATGATAATGCACACTATGTGCATACTTGATATTTTGATTACAATTAAATATATTAATCTAACCAATAAATTATTATTTTGGCTTTATAGCACCTGTAGAGTATAAAATACGGAGTAATATTTTCAGCCACTCGCGAATAAGAAATTTTTAAACAAAACGTGACAACAGTTGAAGGTGCTGAGAATGTGACCTGTTCAAATAATTTTGACTACACAATTTTATGTAAATAACTGAGTCCATCTGTGTTTATACGTCCATGGTTAGTAATATTTTATTCATATTTATTTATTTGACGTTACAAGTTATATACTTCTGTCAGGTCAGATAAATATTTAAAATTGTTGATGTTGCCGTGGTAACTTTAAAATACGCGCGTTTATGAAAGTTGAATTTAAACACGCTACGGCGTACTTTAAATAAGAAAAATGGGGTACCAATAAAAAAAACATACTTTTTATTTTTTTATTGCTTTTAAACAATATATTTCTATTATAAGGGTCCTCCATTCTTTAATAGTTCCTAAAATACTTCCTAGTATGACATTTAAATGACATCTTATCTAGTATAGTTGATAAAGATCTCGGCTTTCTGTAGGTTCAACTTAAATGATTTTATATTTTCAATTTTCAATGTATACAAGTAAAATGATTAAATAACGTGATTTTTTAGTTTGATATCTTTTAAAATTGACAACTGAGACACAGTAATTAACAATCAAAATATTCTAGCCCAATTTTTTGCGTTAGAAAACAAATATATAATGGTTATTCCAATACGGTAGAATCGTTTAAAATAAATACAAATTTTCCACAATGTCAACATATGCGTGTAATGACCGATAAGTAAATGGCTCGATAAAGTATAAAGAGATACCAAATTTTAGGCCACTACAGGACTGTATGGATGCACGTAAATAAAATATCCAGAAATAAAAATTCATCGTAAGATCTAAGGAAAAATTTATTAGGCTGTAAATGTAGCCTGCACTTTGGCAATTTATGGACGGAATATTATAAGAAAAGCTATTTGAAGGAAAAACGCATGCCGGGAAAAGTATGTTCTGTAGAAACGAAATAAAAATGCTACAAAAGAGAACTAGTATAAAGTCTTGAATTTAACAAAGTTTATATATATATATATATATGGTTTAAATACCTGGCCTCTAATCAGAGAAACATTAAAGAATAATTTTGGAAATAGAAAATTCTTACAATTAACAAAAGGTAAAAACGAAAACATTCTTGACTTTTTTTTTACCGCATCAACCCTAGAGTTATTAGCGGGGTGGTATATCTTTATTTTAGAAAAGTTACATTAGTATGTTATTAAAATTTACATAACAGTTTTGAAAAATACAAAAATAAATACAAAATTATGTTTATGTTACAGTTTGTTATACAGTTGACAATTTTTGATAAATTTTATTGTATTACTCTATATATATATATATATATATATATATATATATATATATATATATATATACATATATGAAATACAAGTCATATATTACGGCGTTTGGAGCACAAATTAGTCAAACCTTCTGTGTTTGAATCTGTCTCAATACTCGTGTCTCCAACAAAACTTCCCACGTTAGTGGTTAGCGCACAGAGGTGCCATCTGCTTTGCTGGCGAAGAACTAAACAATTTAATAAATCGTTTTTCTGTCCTCTGGACTGTCGAAATGTGCAAATATTAGTATTTAAATAGTATAAGTATTTGAATTGGTATCAAGCCCGAGTCGACTCATGAGGTGGGGACTACACCGAAATAAATAATCGAATCACTAATCACGACTGAATGCAAACTAAGAACAGCAATATCTTAAACAATTTTTGTCTTACAGAAAAAAAAAAAACAAAATGTTAAGAAAATTAGCATTAAAACCACATAACGGTCATTAAAAAACGAAACAAGACAAAATGTGACAATACTATTTATAAACTAAAACTTGGTATATGGAATGCCGGGAATAAGTATGATTTTAGCTATATATGATAAATATGAACAAGCATGCATATCAGGAAGGAAAATCAACAGAAACAACTCTTGACGAAGTAGTTCAGAAACTCTCCATGAGTACTAGAGAGACTGCATTAGCAGCCGTTCTAGATATAGAAGGTGCATTTAATAATGCGCTACCAAATTATCTTTATGATGCAGGAGTATCAAAAGAGATATCCGCTACCGTATACAATTAGATCAAAGCAATGCTGGAAAATAGGCTGATTCTAAACGACCAGCAAGGAGAGGAGATTCTAGCCAAAACATCTAAGGGGTGTATACAGGGGAAGTGCTTTTACCCCTCCTGTGGTCACTTCTGGTGAATGACTTGGTTTCTGACTTAGTACAAGCGCAGGCCTATGCGGATGATCTAGTAATTATTGTAAGAGGAAATATGGCAATGTTCTATTTAGTACACTCCAAAGAACATTAAATATCTTTACTAGATGGGGCGACAAGAAAAAACTCTTTGTCAATAGTAGTAAAACAGTAGTAGTGAGTTTAACAAAGAGACGGAAACTAGATAACATCCTGATGCCCGTTGTGTATAGAAAAACTGTCAAATAATGAGGTCAAATATCTAGGGCTAAATCTAGATAAGCGGCTTACATGGAACGCCCATTTAGTAACAATAACCAACAAAGTAAAGCTTTCCCCCTGAACATATGGAAGGATATGTGGGAAAACATGGGGTTTCAAACCCAAACAGATGTACTGGCTATATTTTACTCATCGAGCAAAAAGACAAAAGGGAATGTAAAGGTAGTGGGGGCAAACATATTGTTAGACAGAAGTGCGATCTTTAGAGGCCACATTAAACAAGGAAAGAGAGTCTCTCTCCTTGTTTGACATCAAATTTAATTGGTTTATGTTATTGTTTGTCCCAAATGTCATATGAAATATTATTTATATTGAAGTTTTTTAACAATTGTGTCGCATTTTAGACTCTTATCATTAATAATTAATTAAAACTTTCTCGTCCAAGACAAATTCTGAAAAATATTATATAGCTACTGTTGATAAGTGTCGGAAAATTTAAATTTGGCGCATTCGCATTTCCGGATATGTCCGCCATCAGAGGCCACTTTTTTGATCTCCTTTTCATAACGATTAGATTCCCTCTTTTGTCTTATTGCTCGATGATTTTACTGTAGTCGGGCCCATGATTACGTATGGCGGAAAGACCACCAAAGAAAAGCTAAATAAGCTTCAACAACAAACAAGCTTAATTAATCCAGGAATGTTGACTACCACGCCTCTATGGAGGTCTTGCTTGACTTCCTCCATTACATATACGGATAGAGAAAGGGGCGAAGGTAGGAACATACAGAAGGCAAATAAGATGCCAGGAAGCAGGGAAAAAGGATACCGGAATCAAATCTGGAGATATAAGTAAAATTCACCAGGAAAACCAGTGTAAGCCTAGTGAAAGCCTAGGTATCCACTCTACTATCTTCCAAATGGAAATCTATGTTATAGAAATGTGGGACAAATCCATAAAAAAATATTTCTGATGGAAATCTGGAAAGGGGGTTAAATCGGATTGACTCCAAGTTGGTTTGGAACTGTCTTGAGAATTTGATTCGGATCGGAAAAAGTAATAAAGTAAGTTTAGCTTGGGTGCCTGGATATACTGGTATTGAATGGAACGAAAAATCGGACCTACTTGCCAGGGAGGGGCAACAGCAACATTCATAGGTTCAGAACCTGTCGTTGGCGTAGCAAGAAGCACAGTCAAAAAAAACACTATCAGACTGGGTGGAACAAATGGAACGTAACCACCGGTACGAACAAGTGGATATTATACACTCGAAGGCTTTTATACATGAACCTTCGAAGAATAGATCCAAAGATCTACCAGATATAAAAAGAAAAATGGTTTATTCAGAAAAAGTATTTGCACAAAATGATATTACAGTGGTGATAGAAGCTGTAAATGAAGCACTTTTTAGCATTTTCTGAAAAAATTCGAAATAGTACTGTATCTGTTTTTACACCATGAGAAGTACAGACTTTAAAGTTACAAAAAGGGCACCTACATTTTAGAAAAGGCAGATATTTTGACGTAAGAATTTTTGAAAGAAAATTACGATATTTTTGCGATATTAAATCAAAATACTTAGGGGTAAAAAAATAAATATTTTAAATAAAAAAAAATAGAAAGTGTTTGAAATATAAAAAAGTAAATTTTCAACACATTTTGTAAATTTTTTTATAAAAAAACCAAAAACTCGTTTACATATTAGAATTTTTGAATACATTTTGAGTATTTGCTGAGTTTATGTGAAAAAAGTTTTTATACCGTAGTTGTAGATATTTTTATTATCAACAAATTTGCCATTGGACTTTTTTCCATTGGACCCTTAAAAGGAGGTGAGGTTTTACCCTTCAAAAACTCATCCTCTTCCATTTCCCGATCTCAGAGCCCGAAAATTATTTATTTTTCCTTTAACTTTCGTTACATTTTCTTCCTTTTACATCCTGATACTATCTTTTTTTTTAGTCAAAAATTATTAGCCCTGGCCTATTATCTAATACATATACCATATACAAAATTATTTTTAAAGAGTCGATAATTATTCTGTAATAATTGTCGCTTATTCTACCGTTCAATAAGAATATGAATCCTAAGCACCAATACCATAATAATGAATATTCATGGGTTAACAAACTTTTAATTTTTTTAATTTTTAAAGTTAATGACAGATAATGCCCAGGTGTTTTTAAAGGCATAATATACGTGATTATATTGGTATAAAAGCAAAGGTATCGATCAAAAACAAATATTTATGAGAAAAGTTATGTATGAGTGCACATTGTCAAGTCTCATACACTGAAAATGAAGTAAACACTAAAATTCGATACCCTTTTGAAGAAAAAGCATTCTTGTTCATCGATTTAGTTCCTGATATAGATATCTTATTGTCGGTGTGGAATGAAGTCGTACATGTTTCACATGCATAACAGTATTACCTTACAAAAACTATTAACATATTAGATTACCTTATTTTATTACACATATTGCGACATGTTTTCTATGCCAGTGAAAACCATTGAACCGTTTTACACTTATTCGTTCATAAATAAAGGAATTTATAAAATAAAGTAGAATAACCTAAATTGAACAAACTCCTAAAAAACATTTAAATCTGAATACATTTAAAGTAGATCATATTTATCAAAGTAAAAACCCAAAATATGGGTTATGGTTATGGGATATAAAATCATCTGATATTTCTTATTATTTTAAGCGAAAAGTCAAAGAATATTCATTCTAAAGCAGTTTATTCGCCAATAAATAAAAATTAAAGAAAACGATAAACTCTTGAAATAACAAATTAAAACTATTTGTTTTAAAGTCAGCAAAATAGTAAAATGAACAGATCTATCAATTTTCGTTTTTGCTTGTCTTTCTCGCCCTTTAATTACACGAATTCGATGATCATCTGATTTTTCACAAATCTTGGTTTTGTCTGAAAATAGCACATTTGCCAATTTCCAATGTTCCAGTTTTTGTTTTGAAGGCACCAATTTAGATCAATCTTTAGCTGCCTGGATAACTTAGGAACCTGTAAATCTCTACTGCTGTATAATAGTCCTTGGATACAAAGTTTTTTTTTATTGTTTCAACTGAAACACTTACACCTGTAGCTTCCAAAAGTTGCCTTTGTGTCTCTTCTAACTACTTGGACAAACTTTTTCTTTGTCTATTCTTAAGCGTTGCTAATTCCTGATACATAGCATACGTTTTTGACAGAACGCTCTGTGTTAAACCTACCACTGCCGCTATACCCATCTGAGACATCCTTAATCCACAAGAAGAAAAATCTTTCCTCTTTGAACATGCTTTAACCCCACATAGGCATATTTTCGGTTTAAGCGCAAAAGTAAGTTTATTTATTTTCGTTTAATTTACAACCAAAGCAAATAATCTATAACGTACGGAGCTGTGGTATCTGGTTGTTTTATCGTTTGGTTAATTTTCAATAAAAACCTTTATTATTAGCAACAATAACAAGTTTTTTTCAAAAGAACTAAATATTGCTTTTAAAAACCATGGTAATTCCATATAAGTTTGGTTGTGAATACATATTACTTATGTGAATTCAATTTTAGAACTTGAACTAGATTAAGGTTACACTTTCTTGTGGTAGCTATATACTAGTAGTATATAGAGAAAAGTAACACCAGAAATGAAGTATGTGTCATACTCGATACAAAAAATAAAAGGGAATGTGTTAGAAGTTGTGAGAACGAGTAACAGTAAAATATCAGTTTTCAGTACATTATAAATGCTGAATGTAGTGTGTAGATTTATGTCCTTAAAGACGAAATCTTAAAATGAAAAGTTTTCTGATCAATTACGAGATAAATTTAGAGATACTTCAACAAAGGAGATATTAATAATATGAACTAGTTTTAATACCAGTGGCGAACTCAAGGGGATTTTGTGGGTACATTCCCCCAGGACCCTATTCCGACACTGTTACTCACAAATTTTAAGGGCTCAAAATGGAGGTAGCATAAAAAAAATGTCGGTGCCCATCAAAATCCCCTCACAGGAAAATTCTAGATGCGCCACTATTTAATACACAGAATCGTCAATAGAGAGGAATCGTCAGAAGAGGATAGGAAGCGATATATGGGGGAACTTGATCTTGCAATTATGAGGATACTTGAGAAGATAAAGCATTTGGACCAAATACTTCTTTGGAGAAATGGACAGCGCTATTATGTGTGAATAACAATCAAAATAATTAGTGCTGTATAGTAGGAACATAGATTAATTAGTACCTACACAAAATAAAAGGAACGCCTAAGTGAAGTTCAATTTGGATTCAGAGCAGACCTCGGAACGAAGGAAGCACTTTTCAGTTCGCAAATTATTATAAAAAGAGCCAGAGATCTCAACTGCGATATGTATGCACGATTTCACGGTTTCAAGAAGTCCTTTGACAAAATACCACATGGAAATTAATCGATATCCTAAAAACATTAGTCTAGACTCGATAGTAAGGATATAAGACTAATTTCAAACTTATATTTCCAACAAAAAGCAACCGTTCGACTTAAAAATGCACTGTCCACAATCTTAGAATATTCCAGACTAAATGATTACTATATTTATAAAGGTTATTGGCATGTTACGCGGTGTCACGTTTACGTTTTTTGGTAAAAGTAAGTTGTATTTAAGTTT